TACATTAGTATACCTCTTCTATTTGCTATATCGATTTTTCTTTCATGCACTCTAGAAACGGAAAGTCGTCTCCCACCGACCGGATATATTGTTCTTAACCGAGTAGCGGAGAAATTGGAAAGCTCTTTGTGAGCAGTCGTTACGGGAAATATCATATATTGTATTTTAAATACTTCGATGGGGTAAGAATGCTAGCGGCTAGGGATCCCGAATTTCTAGAGCGTAAACCCCTATCCACATTTGGCTGATATCAACAGCGATCTAGTACGGTCACCAGACATAGTAAACAGGGAGTTAATCGAAGCATGATAATTTTCAGTCAAAGAATGAGAGGGTTGTGAGTAAGTATGGCCCGATGCCCTCATTGATATGGTGAGTGACTTGGGAGCAATGCCGGAAACTATTAGGATTATACCTCTTTCTGGTGGGGTCAGCTTCGGGTTAGGGTCAGGTTAGGGTCAAATTTTGTATGTGCAAACCTTGTCAGTCGCGCCGTATGGCAGCTATTTGACTTGCTATTGACACCTCTCAGCTACCGTATAGCAGGTATTGGATTGATACTGACGCTGATAGACCTGCCGTACAGCAGGTATGTTACATGCCAGTGACACTGGCTGACCTGCCGTACGGCAGGTATGTGACATGCCAGTGACACTGGCTGACCTGCCGTACGGCAGGTATGTGACATGCCAGTGACACTGGCTGACCTGCCGTACGGCAGGTATGAGACATGCCAGTGACGCTGACTGACCTGCCAGTGACGCTGACTGACAAGCCGTACAGCAGGTATTTGACATGCCAGTGACGCTGACTGACAGGCCGTACGGCAGGTATTTGACATGCCAGTGACGATGACTGACCTGCCAGTGACGCTTACTGACCAGGCGTACGGCAGGTATTTGACATGCTATTGACGCTGACTGATCTGCCGTACGGCAGGTATTTGACATGCCAGTGACGCTGACAGACCTGCCGTACGGCGGGTATTTGACATGCCACTGACACTGACTGACCTGCCGTACGGCCGGTATTTGACATGCGAGTGACGCTGACTGACCTGCCAGTGACGCTGACAGACCTGCCGTACGGCGGGTATTTGACATGCCAGTGACGCTGACAGATCTGCCGTACGGCGGTTATTTGACATGCCAGTGACGCTGACAGACCTGCCGTACGGCGGGTATTTGACATGCCAGTGACGCTGACAGACCTGCCGTACGGCAGGTATTTGACATGCCAGTGACCCTGACTGACCTGCCGTACGGCCGGTATTTGACATGCCAGTGACGCTGACTGACCTGCCAGTGACGCTGACAGACCTGCCGTACGGCGGGTATTTGACATGCCAGCGACCCTGGCAGACCTACCGTACGGCAGCTATTCGACCTGCCAGTCATACTGCTCCAAATCATAGTTCAAATAGGCTCTGAATAGGCAGCGATTCTGAACCAAAGCATGCACCAAGGCATGTAGCAAATAGGCTCCGAATAGGCAGTGAATCGGCAGCGATTCTGCAGCTAATCTAGATCAAAGCATGCTCCAAAGTATGTTCCAAATAGGCTCCGAATAGGCAGCGAATAGGCAGCACTTCTGGACCAAAGCATGCACCAAGGCATGCACCAAAGCATGCCCAAAATAGGCAGCGCTCTTGCAGTGTATAGGGCTCCAAATAGGCAGCGAATCTGCAGTTATTCTGCAGCGAATAGGGCTCCCAATAGGCAGTGATCCTGCAGCGATTCTGGACCAGAGCATGCACCGAACAGCCAGCAATGCTTCAGAGAATAGGGCTCTAGATAGTCAGTGGCTCTCCAACAACCCTGCAGCAAATAGGAATCCATATAGGCTGCGAATCTGCAGCGCATAGGGCACCACACGGCACCTGATTGCCAGCCGCTTCCACCAAATGGAGACACCCCCCCTTCCACCGCCATGGCCTGCAGAATTGCCGGCGCCTGTATGGAATCAAGCTCCGACCCAGCCGGCAATTGCAGGTATTTACCTCTGGCAGCAGGGACCAGCGGGAGAGGCCAAGTGATCCTCCATGATCCACCCACACCTTCCTCGCCGCCTACTTGACCACTGCATCGGCGCCATACTTCTTGCCCCATCTATTCGTTTCCATCTGCTAATGGCTGTGTGAATAATCATAATTACTCTCACAATCCTAGTGTTTCACGATGCCTGTATTATACCACCCACAACATGTTGTCCCTCGCCAGAATCAACGCACCAAATAGAACAACGCTTTACATCAGTCGAAGCCCTTGACAGTTCACTCAATCAGACGTCTAAGATTACACTCTTGTTAGCGTGCAACAACCTGTCCATAACACCCAAATAACTGTCGTCTGCAAGCAGCGCTCTCGTATTACCTATACACCTAGTTTTCACGGTCCGCTGCGGGCGAGCGCTTAGCGCGACCGCCAGGAATGGGATTTATGTCAAGCGACCCCCGCCGAGCACTCACGTAGAAATACTGTTTTGCTTAACGGCTTAGAATTCTTCTGGAAGCTCTGAGGACGTCCATGAGTATTCCTACTCGATATACACATGGATCCTGCCGCTCTTCATCTCAGGCAACAGACCGAGAAAGATGTGGTCACAGGTGCCGCGGGGCCCTTCTATGAAGACTGCAATCGAGCTACTACAGGGCGCCGTGGAATGTGCTATATTATTAAGCCTCAGGATCCAAAAGACGCCCATGCACATCTGACGAAAGTATCTGCAATTTACGTCTTTTCATGAGGCCAATATGCGCAGGGAGCGGTGTTATGGTTGTGATGTAGCTTATGGGTTCAGAGCTGAGGCGCAGTGACTCACGCGCATCCGATAGGGTACTTTGCATGAGAACCGAGTAAATCTTTGCCTTCTTCACCTGAGCCCATACCCTATACTCATTCTGACGCTCACCCTCCTAGGTTAAGAAGTAATATATGAGCTTCGCACCCCGATACCCAGAATATGACACGGAGAGACTCCCCCCTTTATGATGATGTCTTCGATTCCATGTCTTGTGCATCAGGACCTGGTTAAGGCCATTCTCTCGATTTCACACTTGCTCTCTGTGGATTCAATAATAAGTTAAAGGTATTAGACGGAAACTGCCTATTTTGAAACTTGCTTTATTTGGCCATGACCTAAGACACAAATTGCGTGTCATGCTCGTGTGTAGTGTATCCTGTTAGCCTGGAAGGAGCGTCAGTGTATTCATTAATAGGAGGCGTAGAGAGAGGCGAAAAAAGCTTTACGAGTCATCCTATGACCCGTAAAGCCACAAGTCTCTCCACCTGTCTGTACATCTAGGCACATTGTCTAATAACTATGAGATGTTGTTCGTACAGGCATTGAATCAGATAGACATTAATCTCATGTATAGCACGAGTTAAGAAAATTCCAGTATGACGTGCATAGTCGACTTCTCACACAGAGAGACATGCTGTTCATGCGTAAGCTATACAGGATCCAACTCGTGTCCATCACTCAGCGCCTGCGATCTGTGCCTGAGTTCTTATACGCCTCAAGCGTTATCTAACATGCCTTCATTTAGGGCTACTATTATATATATATAAACTTTAAGAATCCAACACACAACACGCTCACTCGCAGATTAATATGCCACTGTGTTTACACATTAGATTATGTATTATCCTTAATCGACAAAACTGTAGCAACCTAATAGTTAATGCGATGATACGAAATCAGAACTTACCTCCGTCACCGTTTAGTATTAAACAATTCAGCATAAAGCATCTGTTTAGCATATCCTTTGTATAGATTTCAATCTGAACTAAATCATATCTGAGCTCTATGCCCACCCATACTACAACACTTCAGAATAATTAAATCTGAATCCCAAAATATTAGATATCATCACCCAATTGCAAGCGTGTCTCCAGTTTGTCAATCCATAAATTCCACATAGTATTATTATATTGGCTTATCAACTAAAGACGGACTTTATGGCGTTATTCAACATATATACAAATTGCCTCAATGTGAAAACATGCAATACCCTATTAAGAAGTTAAATTATGCCCGTATGCAATCTGTAGTCAATTATTCCTGTAAAGTGCGGCAAGTCACATTACATTGCATAATTACTGGTGATATATGTTAGTATCGACCCAAACACTAGAGATAGTGTGCAGTGAAATGCCACGTACGACTCAATATTTAAGTAAACCTTCTTAGATTGCACTAGGTGTGAGATAATCTGTATTGAGTTAGAATCAATAGATATCGCGAAATGAATTATTCACCTTAATTCGTGTGAATAGTATAAGAAGAAAATCCACTCTCATCTCTTTCTATCTGTCGTTTAATGATATGCTTAAATGGTACCACTCGATCCAGTACTTAGCATCACCACTTGCAAAGAGACTTGCTCGTGCTATCTAACTAGATACCATCAATAATTATATTGATTCATTTAACCTCTCCCACTACTATTGTTCATGATGTTTGTTCCGTACCTAAGAATATCATGGCTTCGTGTGTAATACCAACGGAGAGATAATATAATGTATATGTCGGCCCAAGGAATTGCAATATTGATATCTAACTAACATTCATCTCAGTGATTAGGCTCATTATATATCTTTACGTTCCTTAGTTAACACGTTAGTCCCCTCCCCCGATCTGCTTGGGCCCACATTAGAACACGGAGTGATTCACCCATTCTATTCAGCTACGATTGTACGCGTTAATTATATCTTCTTATCAGTGAAGACTAGGCGTCTTTGACGCGAGGTCCCGCTCGTAATCCATGTTCCAGAGCTACATTTAACGCTGAGCCCTGAAGCTAATGATAATGATATACAGGAGATGGTTATCTGTCATCGCTGAAGCTCAAGGCGTAGATAAGGTCAGTACATATTTTCACTTGCTTGACACCAGGCAGATGCCAATTGCTCCTAATTTGATAGTTAAACGCTCCTAGTCCTAGCTATGGTCCCCCTATTAACGTAGCCCATCGTTACTTAACTTTGGCATCGACAGGCCTAATTGCTCCTCTCAAGCTGTTCCTCCTTCCAAATCCCCAATGCCTCCCTCACCGCGCTCTCCATCCCACTCGACACCAAGCACTTCTCCCTTACCACATCTTCCCACCCCCTCACCCATAGCACCCCATCATGCTCCCTTTCCTCCAACTTCACCTCACCCTCTTCCACCTCGACCTCAAAATTCCATTTTCTCCACCACCTCCCCGATCGCCCCTGAAACTCCACACATCCGAAGCACCTTAGCAGCCTGGTGACCTTCAGCCCCGTCTCCTCCCACACCTCCCGAACCACCGCGTCGAGTAGGGTCGCGTCTGTCGGCGGCGCTTCTACACCTCCGCCCGGAACCTCCCAGTACCCCGGAAAAGCGGCCTCGTCAATCGCCCGGCGGATGAGGAGGAGCCCACGCGTCGGATGGAAGATAAAGCCGCCAACAACGCAGGAGGTGATGTGTGGGTGTGTCGAGAGGAGTGTGGAGAGGGGGAGGGCGTAGGCGAGTAGCGAGGGGGGGTATGTTGCGCCGGAGGTGGTGGTGTGGGAGGGAGTCTCGTCTTGGGTTGCCATTTTGCCTCTGTTAGTCGCTAACTTACGGGTGTAGTGGGGCCTTAATTGGGTGGGGTTTTATGAAGTTAGGATGGAAAGTACGCGCTGTTGCGTGAATCTGAGAATGGGAGGAGAGCTTAATAACTTCTCCAGCGCAAGGATGGATTTCGTGTGTTAGTTAACATTACATATGTACTAACCAAATGGGTTTGTTACTATTTGCCCCCCTAAATACAGCGGTTATTTCCTTTTGTTAAATGTGCGCGGCTAATTCAAAGCCAATCTCGGATGATTACATTTATTATATCAGATTAATCATGAGTCAGAGACATTTACAACATTCGCGAATCCGAGTAACAGGTGTTAAGTTAACTACATGTATATTGAGTTCTCACAAGCTATTTATCTTATTATCGTATCGAGTGATTGCTTATGGCCAATCCATTCATGGATAATCACTCGAATCATATATGACCAGTCACTAAGATAGACTTTGTTGATTGTGTACTGGGAAGGGATAAGCCAATATAAGGGGGAGTGAGAGCGATGTAGCTGGAATTAGTGATTGTTCTTCTCACCTTCGCGAATATTTTCTTTACTCTCAATTCATTAATTTGAAGAAACCTGGCAAATGCCTTCCTATAATGGGTGGATACATGTATGTGCTGGTCTTGAGTAATTGTGTGTTTCTTCTACTCTATCATGATCAACCTCAGAGCTTAGTGGGAAATCTTTGATGGGCTTTGAATAACTTGGAAGATCAAAATTCTTCTGCACGCCCACTGTGAATAATATAAACCAACAAATATTAACTACAGGAGAAAATCTTTACAATTCTTCTAAAACTACATGTAATTAATAAAACTACATTACTTTACTGCATAATGAAAGCTATATATGTATTTACGCCAAACCACCCACATTATACATGCAAAAGAAAGAGAACATATACGTTATTACAACAAATCAAACCTTATCCATATACCACTAAATCATATCGCCCGTTATCATATCGTCATATCATTCTGTATATCCTCCACTCTAAAGAAAGATCACATGAACCGTATGCCCACCATTCATCCACTCAATACTCCTTTGTAATATCGACAGCTACCACCAACCCCAACGTGCCTGCTATCACTGCACCCACGATCGCACCCACAACCACCAGCTCTCTCCCACCGGATATGGACACACCTCTTAGCAGCCCATTCTGGAGCCGCCACCAGCGCAGCACCCCAACAATACTGATGATGAGGGCGCAGCAGGCCAAGACGACAGAGAGTGGCTTACCGACCGTACGGAAGCCGAAGGTGGGCGAGGGGTTTGGCGCGTGGTTGATGATGGTAAGTTGGGCGGTGACGACAGAGAGCATGCCGAAGACCATGGCGGTACGGTGGTAGGAGAGGTAAGTACGTTCTAGGGCTATAAGAGTTTAGTGGTATAATCTTAGCAGCCGGTCTATGCAAAAGGGGGGGGGGGGGGGGAAGTCGAGGATGGCTTCATCATAGAATGGGAAGATCTAGAGATCTCGAGAAGAACTAAGAAGGAATAAGAAAATAAGGAAAATTCGGCTAGGGGAGAAACGCTATCTGGTAATGATGTAGGATGATGCAACCCCCGATCGATAGCTCTACATACATGTAGCTATGGGTGGGTATAAAATCACACCCCACCCACACCATATGTCCTTCTATTCCCCATCACCACTCCCCGCAATCCCGTTCAACGTCCACACTCACTCACTCACACCCACAACCACCACCATCACGTACCACCACCCATCAACGACCCCACACCGGCCATAGCTCCCGCCGGCTCTTCGGCAGATTGACGCGATGTGCCGTGATTAGATTGATGGAACGGAATGGATGTGGATGTGTACATGCGTGGGTATGGGTGTGTGTGGGTGTGTGTGGGTGAGCAAGCAAAAGAGCTTGATTCATCCACCAAATCCAATCCTTCATCCAACCGAGATGCAGCCGCTCAGATTTCCCCGGGATGGACGACCCAGCTGCAAGATGGCCGCTGCACAATGGTTCGAGTCTTGCATCCCATATGCCTTCCCCACCTCAATCACCGCCGCCTAAATAGCGATGATATAAAAACGAAACGAAAAGAAAGAATAAAAAACCTAACAAAAAAGAAGGGAAAAAAAACGCAGGGAACAAGAGGCTATATCGTCTTGAAAGAAACAGCGGAAACGCGGTCTATTGCGTGCGTACCTAGATGATCCCTTGCATGCTTGAACGAGACAACCACAGAGATATTGTCCCCCCAAAATGCCTTCAGCCACCACTCCTGCTCCACCACCACCACCTCCTCCCGCTCCTGCTGCTCCTCTAGCGGCGGCGAGCCCTCACGAGATGGTACAGACGATGCTGTCAGTGTTGAGTCTGAATCGGACGAATCCCTATACACTGGTGTCGTTGCGCCGGTGTTTCCACCAGCTCCCATTACATGCAGAGTCGCTGCATCGGTCTGTAGCGAGGAACGCCCAGTGTGAGGGTAATCCTGTAGCTCATGCTCTGTGATGTCACCAGGTATACTGGTATTAAACACCGACGCAATTGAGCGGGCAGCTGATGTCACAGAGGATATGGTTGAGGGTGAGGAGCGCTTCTTCTCTATGCCATGGAATTTCTCGGTGGTGATGGAACTCGAGGCGGTATTGTCCATTTCTTGAGGCAATAGTGGTAGTAAGTAATCAAGTAAAGAGGTTAAGCTCGCTCGTACTTCCCTGTCGATAATGTTCCGATAAGGTTGAGGTTTGTAACAGCTAACAAGCTAGGTAAGCTTGACGAGAAGAGAGCGTTGCTGTTTCTCGGCGGCTGAGCAAGATTCGTCAAGCTTGGCGGGCATTTGTGGTTAGACTGGGGAACAACTGCGCTACTGGATCGTCGGCAAGCTCCCCGCAACCAGTCCCCGAACCGGAGACCCTGGCACACTGGAGATGGCACGGATCAGGTGTATCTTGTTCCGATGGACTGCACGTAGTGGGAATTTTTCCTTTCGTGTGGACTTGCCTTAGGATGGTATCGCGGCAGTTTTATTTAATCGTGAGTGGCTTGCCTTGTTCTAAAGCTGCAGTTAGAGTAGAATTTATTAGTATGTGTATATCCATCCCTGCACAAAGGTTTCTACTTCTATTGAAAAAAAAGGTAGTTTGGGATTTCAACACATGATCGTTGCCAGAAGCTTTGAGATACCTTAGCGGGGGTTGGTAAAAAAAGATTGCAGGGTTCTGTTTGATGTTTAGTCCCAATTGCGGCTTGCGATTGGCAGAGAGAGAGGAGTATAGCCTTGAAATAATAGCCAAAGTCGACAACTTCTCATTCTACCAAACCGTGAAACCTTCAAAAGAGAAAGAAATACATGTACTATCCAAAGTTCATATCAATTGAGGATATTGGTGATGATATGTCGAAAGGAAATTCATAATAAACCCGCCCTACAGCTACTCCTTCTTCTATCTTTATTTTTTTGACTTTCCTGGTCTGATATTTCGCAAATTATTCTAGCTGATATATCAGCTTCAGTATTGCTGTAGTTATTGAGGTTAAATTTCTATTCCGTTAATTTGGACTTCACGATCAGTCAACTACAAGTAAGTCTTCAATTGCTTCCAAGCTCAATTAAAACTTCAGATCTATCTATCAGGGTAGTACAGCGGTGGGTAATAAGTCATCGGACGACCTAGCCACAATTTTGCCTGCAAACGCGTATTTTGGTGGCGTTCCGTCTGATGACTTATTACCCATCGCTGTACGCTGGCTATAAGTAGTTTTGTCGATTCCTTCACTCATGGTCAATTGACCCCTTCTGACACAAAACTCATGTACCTCCTATTAGAATCTATCGATTCCAATATCACCTCCGCCTGGTGACACGAAGAGTTCGATATCCAGCACAATTTCAGGCTAGCATCCGTGTACCACCACTATCAATGTATGCACCACCTATGCCATGCAAACTCCACTCCACCCAAATCTCAAAGATGCATAAGTGTTGTCACATGCTGAGAACCAGCCAGGCGCATGCAAATTCTCCGAAAGATCAGCCCATACCGTCCCTAGTCTGTATACGGTAGCACAGAAAGCCTCACCTTAACGAGGCTTGGTACGTATGGAGAGTTCTTAATGGCCCCTACATATGGGTATTATTTCCATGGCGTAAGAACTCTCATATCTAATTGTATTTAGCAAAAGGATTTCTGCAGCTTCTACAGCCGGCCGGCCGGAGAAGAGAATATGCACACAGAAGCAGGGCACGAGCGATTAGGGCTATGAGTTACTTTGTTGGGCTCATTATGGGGATTCTAGTCGTGATCGATCCTCGGAACATCTCATACCAGTGCCGGAAGACACACATCTGACGCAAACACATACAAAGAGCACCTTGGGTATGCCGGAGGAGGTCCGTCCGATGCTAGCCACATATCCGGACAATTCAGCCCGAGGAAGAAATTGGGGAGAGGCGAGGCTGGGTTACTTATATATTTATGACAGCATTTATCGAACGTAGAACCCGGATTTGTGAAGGGAGGGAGGGAATCCGGGGAATGGATAAATTTGAAGCGGGGGGAGAGGGTAAAGAGCGAGAGGTCTGGAAACTATGGATGACGGATATATGGATCTAGGTATTCACTTTGTATCAAATGGTACATGTGACCTGACCCGGTGCTATTTCGGAAGCTGCACCGTACTATTGAGAGTATGGGTTTATTTGGACTTATGTTATGAATATATCATCGGTACTGGTTTGTATGGGATCCGGACCTGGGGAGATGTGAGGTCCTCTCCTAGCTAGCATCTTCCCTGACGCTCCGGACCAATCACTCCAGGCCTCCGAGGGTCATGGAGATTGTTACATGTTGGCTTTGTGATATTTGGATAACAGATAAGTCTCGGCACTCCGGCTGATAGTCCTTTGGGCTTACGGGGTGGTTAAGATTACAGCCCTAGTAAGTTCCATATCAAATATAAAAACGATATGTCAGCGACTCCCAGCTGGCGCTGCTAAACGCCGTTTCTTACTTACGGAGCACTCGGTCTAGTCTGGTCTGAAACGTCCCGTTAACATATACGTATGACCTTATCCCACATGAGACTATACAGCGAGAGGTAAGATTATTATAGAAATATGGGAGGGGTCCTATTGGCTTGCCCAGCCATAGAAACCCTGTTTTTAGACCCCTATTTCTATAATAATTTTACCTCTCGCTGTACAGGAACATTCACCAAGCTAGCCAAATAATTATAACTATAAAGCGAGTAATGTGTCTCCAGTCTATAGAATATATATAGATCACTTTTTATACCTCCTCGGCTGGGCTTGTGATATCACAGGCTAGTCTGGGTCAAGTCATTCGGTACCGCAGGAAGCTCTAGATACGTTTTAGTTTAATACCATCCACTCTGAAGAGTTCACACATACCTGTAGTGTTTCAGAGTATGTATAATCTGAAGTCAATGATCCGAGTCACACTTCATGTGTCTCCAGCAAGCATCAACCCTTACTTTACTATTAGCCCCGAGTATTTCGTTAATTGACCTTGCTCCAGACCTCTCAAGCTGACTGATGCAAACCCATCAATTAATGTTTTTCGGTACCTTCGGGAATAATCAGTCGGGTTATACCGATCCGTCAAGTTAGGCTGTAGCTCAGATGCATGGACTAGAGTCCATATATATATGAGACGAACGATCTGCAATCCAGCGTGTCTGGGGATTGCTTAAGGAGTAGCGTTAATTATGTTAGGGGGGCTTAATGTGGGTTAGGCTTAAAAAAAGGTTTTAAGCATATTGCTCCGCGATTATCTATCTGGTCTTTGTGCTAGATCTCCGTGTTGTGTATGGGTGTATGTGGTCATTGACATTGACAGATGCGTAATGTCCTCTGTCGGCTGAAATGGAAATCAACAGTGGATACCTCCAATTGGGAACCATGGGCATACGACGAAGGTTAAAGTAAGTACTTTATGTCGTTTGCGAGAATAGCCAATAGATGATATATCGTAGTTCTGGATTCGGTCACGAAACATGTGTTTTTTCTCCAAACTGTCACTCGTCTAGGCAAATCTGGTCTAGCCCGATTAGGCTGAATTGTAACACTGGAAAATGTTATTTCTGGCCACAAATATCATTGTTTCGGGAGGGGTGGTTCGATTTGTGCACCCTTAAATCAATTATTGTGCGGAGACAGCGGAGCGATCCAAGCGTGCGTGCCAATTTCGCCATTCGGAGACTTTCCTTCAATGTGGAGTAAATGGGTGGGCCCTGGACATTGAAATTATTGGGTGTAGGTAATATTAGAAGGGTTTTGTGACTTGTCTTACCGTTCATCTGATGATAATACAGTAGAAGGGTCAAGAGGAGGGGGAAAGAAGGAGGGGGAGGTCGAGGGGGGGGAGGGGGGAGGTACGTAGTCGTGATAGTGCTCTCAAGTCAATTGATCAAGAGCCTCTAGTATACATGTAGCCATTGAGATTCCAGGTAACCTCATGTCTGGTAGAGAAATAGTATGTCTTGTGGGTAGTAGTATGGTATGATGTATCATGTACATGTATGTACCCCTCGACCGTTCCCTTGGTGAATGTTACATACCATGGCCTCCACAATGCATGCATAAGCGCAAGCGGGATGCTCTGCTCCCACCCACAATGAATTTCTCGGGCTGGGAACCAATCACAACGTCCGCTGTCAACCACCATGCATATCCACCCCTAACCACTCCAGACAGGGGTAACTGGCAGCCCGGGTTCAGATTCCGGAGTGTAGGCCCGTCTGCTCCGGTACTCCACAGATACGCCATGCCTGCAACAAAACGTGAGCCACGGACCGTATGCTCCGGCGGGCTTATTAGGTATGTATGTGCTGTTTTTTTGTTTTTTTTTCTGTTGGATGGGAGAGATTTCTACCATTGTACCGCATCGCAGCCTCATCCTTTTCTTCTTTTACTGACAGGATGTAGCTTTGTAGCTGTGTTTGGTAGCTGAGCTGCTGGCCCGAGACTCCCCTATGCTTTTGATAATTGCGCCGATATTTCCCTTCAACAAACGTTGGTGCTTGGCGAGCAGCTAATAACTAGCTAGCCAATTGGATCACATTCATAATCATGCTAGCTGAGGAGTTTTGTTGAGTAGACAAAACATTTAGTATACTCATGGGTGGATATTCTTTTTTCCTCTTCTACGTTTTTCCCGGATTACTTCCCCGGAAGAATCGTCTCCAATCCGGCGACGATCTCCCAGCGAGCGAGTGGCCGCCGAGAGAGAAGACCGCCGCAAGATAGATGAACGAGATCGGACAATTATCAATATTGCCGGGTGGTGCAAGGAACACATGCGGAATAGCCAGCTTGAGTGGGGGGATGGAATAGATGTTTACTGAAGTCAGCAGGCGCGCAGGATAAAGACAGCACCTCTACATACTTAGTCGACAGACATCTTATATGAAGAGCTCCTCCTTTCCCTACCTACTGGGAAATGTTATAAAGCCAGCCCTCTCCGCAGTACGCAGCTTTAACAGGAGAAAACAGCCTTTTTAGAAAGACAACGCCCCCACTCTACCACATCTACTTCAGTTCCCTCCACTCGCGGTTCAGCTTTGTGGTTCTCACTTATATAACACATATTGAGATAAACGGACCCGGCACCGTTCTCCGGCCGCAAACACCGCAACAACGGGTTCCAGCTTAAGTAAAAGAGTTTCTACCTCGAAATCCAAGTCGCACTCTCCTCCAAAGATCAAGGACAAGGAGACTATGACTGGACAGAAGGTAGCAGACTATTCGCAGGGGAATGACAGGGTGAGGGATCTGCTGTCGAAGCTCACTTTGGAGCAGAAGGTAAGACTCTTCCACTTCAGATTACCCCACATAATCCTCTTTCTTGCTTCTTCGTAATTTGCTATTCATGGGTGACTGGGCTGGGTGTTTTTTATTGGCTATAATTGGTATATGATCTAATGACTGGCGGTGATTGGTTATACAGGTCTCACTTCTGGCCGCTCAGGATTTCTGGCGCACTCAGGCTATCCCCGAACACGGGATTCCTGCACTCAAGGTTACTGATGGCCCTAACGGAGCTCGTGGAGAGTTCTTCACCGACGGCACGCCCGTAAGTTCTTTCTTCGCCCCCTATCCTACCATACTGGCAGCCACCAATCCGCTGACAACCCGTTGAAGGCAGCTCTCTTCCCCTGCGGTGTGTCTCTCGCCGCCACCTGGAACACCGATCTCCTCCACTCCGTCGGCAGCACCCTCGCGCTCGAGACCAAAGCCCGTCAGGCGCAGGTACTCCTAGCCCCCACAGTATGCATGCACCGATCGCCGCTCGGTGGGCGCAACTTCGAGTCGTTCTCTGAGGACCCCTACTTCACGGGTAAGATGTCCGCCGCTTATATCAACGGGCTACAGAGCGGCGGGGTGGGCGCAACCATCAAGCACTTTGTGGCCAACGAGCAGGAGACGTGGAGGATGAGTGTGGACTCGGTGGTAGAGGAGCGCCCACTGAGGGAGATATATCTGAAGCCGTTTGAAATTACGATGAGAGAAGCAAGGCCTTGGGCGGTCATGTCTAGTTATAACTCGGTGAATGGCCTCCATGCAGATATGAACGAGTTTACACTCAGGAAGGTTCTCAGGGGCGAATGGAAGTTTGAAGGGTATGCCGCATCCCACAATCTTGACCCAAGCTGTAGGAGTACTAACAGGTCAATGATAGCCTTGTCATGTCTGACTGGGGTGGTACAAACTCTACCGTTCAATCCATCAAAGCCGGTGTCGACCTTGAAATGCCTGGGCCTTCCAAGGTCCGCGGAAAACTCGCCCTTGAAGCCTTAAAACGCGGCGAGCTCACCGAAGCCGACATCGAAGAGTGCGCTGCCCGCGTCCTTGCTTGGATCGAGCGTTGCGGGCGCTTCGACCTCCCCGCCGAGGAGCCGGAGGAGAAGGCAATCGACACCCAAGAGACTCGAGACCTAATTAGACAGGCAGGCGTGGAGGGAATTACACTTCTGAAGAACGAGAATAATACTCTCCCAATTGGATCAGATGTCAAGAGGATTGCCTTGATTGGGCCGAATGTGAAGCAGGCTATTGCCGGTGGTGGTGGGAGCGCAAGTCTAAAGCCCTATTATCTAACAACGCCGTTTGATAGCATCACTGCCTTGTCAGGGGTGGAGATTGTCTATGCCCAGGGCGCGCAGACGGACAAGTGGCTCCCACTCGCGAGCAATGTGTGCACCACGCCATCGGGTAAGCCCGGAGTCGTGCTGGAGTTCTACAAAGGAGATAAGTTCGAAGGGGCGCCAATGTTTATCCAGAACAGGCCCAAAACGGATCTCTTCCTATGGGATAACGCCCCGAAGGAGGTGCTTCCAGAGTATTCGTTCCGTGTCAAGACGGTCATTACACCAGAGACTTCCGGGAAGCATACGTTTGGACTGTCGAGTGTCGGGCCAGCAAAGATGTATGTAAATGGGGAGCTACTGATTGATAACTGGGAGTGGACAGAGGCTGGAGAGGCTATGTTTGAGGGATCAATTGAGGTCAATGAGTCGACATATCTTGAGGCCGGGAAGAAAGTCGACATCCTCATTGAGAGCACGAACGAGGTCCGCCCAACACCCAAGGCTGGAGAGAAGACCCACGGATATGGTGGATGCCGGATTGGGTATATTGAGCGACCTGATAAGGACTTTATCGCTGAAGCGGCGGAGGTAGCAGCTAGCGCTGATGTGGCGGTTGTTATCGTTGGACTGGATGCCGAGTGGGAGTCGGAAGGATATGACAGACAGACGATGGACCTCCCTAAAGACGGGAACCAGGACCGCCTCATTGCCGCTGTGGCAAAGGCAAACCCAAGAACAGTTGTTGTAAACCAGTCCGGTACCCCCATCACCATGCCATGGGCAGACGACGTACCTGCAATAGTTCAGGCCTGGTATCAAGGACAGGAGGCCGGGAATGCTCTCGCTGATGTTCTTCTGGGATTGGCAAACCCCAGCGGAAAGCTACCTGTCACCTTCCCGAAACGATTGGAGGATAATCCGGCATACCATAACTGGCCGGGTGAGCACCATCGTGTGGTATATGGGGAGGGCATCTATATCGGGTACCGACACTACGAGCGTGCCAAGATCGAGCCACAATTTGTGTTTGGACACGGCCTCTCATACACCACTTTTGATTATGGAAAGCCTACAATCAGCGGTACCATCCTGACAGAAAATAACGCATTAACCATCTCAGTTCCTGTGACAAACACCGGCTCTAGAGCTGGAAAGGAGTCGGTGCAACTGTACATCCGTGATCCAAAGTCCCGATTGCCAAGACCAGACAAGGAGTTACAAGCATTTGGAAAAGTTGATTTGGAGCCTGGCCAAACCAAGATAGTTGATCTAAAGATCAACAAGTATTCAGTTGGGTACTACGATACTTCATTAAGTGGATGGATCGCCGAGGAAGGCGAATTCGAAGCTGTTGTAGGAGCTTCATCTGCAGACATCAAGTAAGAGCATCTCACCTTTTATCTTTAAAAATATCGTTACTAAATATTTTAGGGGCTCGGTTTCGTTCGAAGTAAAAGAATCATTTACCTGGGTTTTCTAGATGGACTCACCACTGGTGGTTTTTCCTTATCGGGAGTTCTTTATCACGCACTTTCCCTACATATCCTCTGGTTTCTTCTTGTACTATGCCTCCTTGTCTGTTTCAAATAAAGATGATCTAACATTCCCCCGTGAAGTGAGTTTTCTATTGACGTACGCGCTCATTTGGACGTAACGAATAAAATAATTAAATAGACGTGATTTTTAGCCATCTGTGACTTACCGAGTGATAATCCATGAATAAGGCAAATGTATTTCTTAAAAATGAGACAGGGATTTTTATACCTAGTTCAAATGCGTTCCGTATTCTCCAAACTCCAAAGTTCCTCCCATTTCGTATCCAATTCGTCTTTGTCCCACTCCAACATGGCTCCAACCGCGATTTTAGCACTCTCAACCATCCGTTTCATCACACTGCCACTTTCGGCAGACGTCCTCACATCTAATCCGTTAAAGGCACCAAATGTTGATTTATATTGATATCCTTCCAAGCGCTTTATAATTTTCATGATCTTGCTAGGCGGTAATGGGATCTACCGCATTCGCGAATCAGAAGGGTAAATGATCAGCAAGTGGTAAGGCCTGGATAGGAAAGGCGTGAATACCATGTTCGGAATAGACCACATGAAGCTGTAGGTTGCAGTCCCTGGAAGTCGATCCACGTGATAAAGAGCAGACTAGATTATCATAAACACACGTCCGTTTACATGACATCACACGGGGAATTGGGAGGGAAACATACAGGCACAGTCACAATCGAATCCGCAATAAACAGCACAGCCCCGGGCTTATAATGTAGCACCATACTCCCTGGAAAATGGCCACCAACTCTGATGGCTACGAGACCACTATAACCTTGCAGTGGCTGGAAAGTGGGGCTATGTATCTCTCGGAGTGATATTGTATCGTCGTGCCGGCAGAGCCAAGAATAATCTGCAGTGGCTATATAAACTGGGCAATTAAAGGTACGAGCCCACACTGCGTATGTAGTATAATAATGGGGGTGGGATATTATAATCGCTTTCAGGCCGCCAAGGATATCTATCTGTGCAGGTGATAATGTTAATCTTAAGGGCTTACAAGGAAGATATTTATTGGGTAGGCTACCATATCAATAGTGTCTTGGTCAAGGTAGGCGATTAGGTCCCAGAGAATATTGCCCCTTTCGGTTTGGATTAGGAACGCCCGTTGCCCAATCGCAAACTGTGAAATATGAGCCAAAATACGTTCAAATGCCTAGGATGAATGCGCCACCTTTGGTTCGGTCCAAATTGAGATGATCAGATTATTCTCAGGATCTCTCGCAGTTTTGTTATAGTAATTGCCTGAGTATTTGAGTTCACCTAGGGTGGTAAAGGTTTGTCCACTGGGAGGGACGAACTGACGGGGGTCCTACATGCATGGCTGTTTAGAATAGCTAGCAAGACGAAGAATGTATAACGTGGGGGCAGGAGCATACATCGCAGATACGGCACCTGGCGAGGGAAGTACGGTCGTCGGTGTCGAATTGAGTTCCGCAAGCTGTGCAGATGAGGAGAGAGTCGTCTGAATCGCTAGCCATTGTTGTCTGAAGACGTAGGTTAGATGCATGGTACCAGCACACTGGCACCGAGGTCAATTCATGTGGGGAAGGGGCGATAAGATATTAGATTAGATCGATAAGATAGGGTTTTTGTGTTACAATCAATTGAAGTAGTCGCCCACGCGCACCTTTAGCTATTTAGTACCTTTTTTTTTTTTTTTTTTTTTTTTTAAATCATATGAATTGTTTCTAGGTACAATAACTGCATGCAGGCATAGCCTATGGCATAGCTATTTAGTATCTTTATAACCCTTTAATTATATAAGCCAATTAAAATGACCTGCATCTATGCCTAACAGCTATATAAAGTTCTGGAAAGTCACTCATGAGTTTGCGCTCAGTACAAAGTTCACATCCCCTTCACTCGCCCCGCCTACACACACCGCTTCAAATGGGCTATCCCCACACACTGCTCTAGCTGCCCTTATACACCCCTCCCATCTGCCCTTCGATACGTTAATTGTTGCGCCCGCCACTGTTGTCGTAAGATCGAATCTTGCGGTCCCACTGGCACCGCTGGTGCTCGCCGGTGAGCCTTGGCATTTTGTTATTGCGCCGGCGATACCACCGCAGATTGCGAGCGTGGCGACATTGATATCATGGGAGTCGAGAGTTCTAGCATCAGGTTAGCTCTAGTAGGTTATTTGTGAATTGGATTACGTGGTTTTATGGGGGCGGGTAGGCGGGTGCGAGCAGGCCTTACGTGGAGGGGTCGGTGCAGGTTGAGGAAGAGATAGCGGCGGGATTGACGGAGGTATTGGCTCGGCGATTGAGGGATAGGGTAAGAGATGGGGTGACGAAAGCTTGGATGAGGAGAAAAATAGAAAGAGTAGAAAGCATTTGATGGTAATGTTTAATACTGGGTGCCGGTTATATATATGCGTATTATATTAATGAGTTGAACTCGAAGGGTATTTTCTTTTTTGCGTAGTACTAGTACAAGGTTAGGGTGTATACGTGTAAACAGATGCACAGAAAAGATTTGCTGGAAGAAGGATTATCAGATACAAGTAACGGTCTTTATATTCTTGAATTCTGTTGTCGTGATAACCCCAGGAATAATGACACCAGTATGAAACCACACATGTCGCGGGTCCGCACAAACGCCCTCTGTCTCGGCCCCCAATGTGGTTTCCAGATACTACAGCTTAAACTGATCAAGGGTCTTCATTGTCTTTTCGTTACCTTTCTTCTGCTTGAATAGTGACTTGGTGCTTTCTATGCATGTGCGCGGTATATACGGTGGGCCATGCATGGGCTAGGGATATCGATCGTGGCCCACACGTGCTACACAGGACCACTGCCACAACAATATATAGTCCTAATTCAGGGCCCAAGTTTTCATAAAACTCTCCTTGTCACGGTCCATCATCGAAAAACTCCGCCCCAGGCCGGCACCGACTAGACCATGCAGGAAAAAACCGGTTATAGTTTCAACTATGGGTAATGATGCATATGAAGATTGACAAAATAGCGTAATATCGACTTACGTCAGTAATAGCACTGGAAGATATATGTTAACCCCCCCGCCCCCCTTTAAGCCTATTCCCTCGAGGTAACAACGAACGATAAAATGAATAGGAAAGAAGCGGTATTGTAGCCAAAAAAAAAAAGAAAAGAAAGAATGAAAAATAGTGGTTAATTCGTTCTATCGCCAAGCTACTATACTTAGATAGCTACATGTAGATATGTCTGTATTCTTAACAGACTTGGATACAACCGATCCAGCGAGGATCACACACCTAATGGTATTTTGAGCTTCTTTACTTGATGCTGATCATTCTATTAGAGAATCCCTATTAAGAGCCGTGATCCGTTACCATCCTGCGTGGAATCACTCGAGCTTGCGCTCGGTGAAGTCATTTTAGGTGATTGAACTAAATAACACCTAGGCTAGGCTAGACGTACCCAGCCCTGATATGATATTCACGGCAGATATAGCCTTCTATAAAATCGGGGCTAATCTGATAAAAGGTTAATGACGTTAATAAGATGCGAGAGAAACAGCTGTATGCGGAGTGTTTTATGATCAACGTACAGAATATTCGCCGCAGCTCGATATATGTTGAGTAATTACACGTGTTCTGGCCATGGTTGAGCCGACGTACGACTCGGGTTATTGTCACCATTTGTTAGTCTGGACCATGGCTCTGGCGTTGTGCTTAAACTGGTGGGCTATGCTTAAGTGAATTGTTCCTTCCAAATCAATTCAAACCGTTATGATCCTAGTGACTAAATACCTAGACTGGTTCTGCAGTTGAGACCTATTTTAGGTCCATTACTTGCTTACAAGCATATGAACCAGAAAATGCAAATGTCTATTTTGTACGGCAGATCGGCGCCACTCCATACAAATAATCCTTGACTCTCGAACTCGCATTTTCTGGTTCATATGCTGATAAGCAAGTACTACTGCTCTTGGGTCGATCTACAGCTGGTCATATCAACGTCAAGCCTTCTCTGCACATGCAGCCTGGATCTTATCTCCAAAAACCGCGACTAGGGCCTAGGGATCTAAATCAGATTTTGATACAACCCGGTTTAGGACGCTACAGCCAATTCAGCTCTTATCGTGTGCCAACTAACCTATCGAAATGTATGTTCAAAACGAAAGGTTCTTCACCGGCACCAAGTACTGATACCTGAAGAAGCCCTACGCAAAAGTGGTACAAATGGCCATACGAGGATTTGAAGCTTTAGTAACTCTGAGACCCAATTTTGTCAAATTGGAGTAAAACTTGTCAGATAGAACAACCGGAGACCTATAATCGAAGCTGACTCAAGAACTAGAGATTCTGGCATAGAATGTACTGGTTCAATTTGTTTTCTGTTGGCCTCCTCATTTTGTTCAGCTGTGCTATTAAACAATAACATTTCTTGCTTCAACATTCCAGGCCATGATCACACACGATAATATATATCACATGACTTTGCGGATGCGATCAGGCATCTAGATCTTCAAGATATGTGAGTGATAGCCGCATTAATATCACGTCAAGGTAAAGCTTTCCCGCGTCCACGAACAAAAAGCTATGAACTTAGCCCTATGCTCTGGGCGCTAATGGAACTCTAGGCTGTCCAGGTTTCCCCAGTGTGCGGAAGGGCCATATTCAGGTAGCGAATATTTGTTTTTCTGCTCATTGCGCAATATTTATCATTTCCCACGAGAGCCGACCCAACGAAAGAAAAAGACTGGGGGTTATGATCTTATCCTGTTGCTATTAAGCCTTCAACCCCGCGTCTTGAGCTCGTGCCTACCGTTAAGTTGGTATGTACTACATGTCGGATATGAGTTGTTGGTTTTTTGTTTGCTTTTGCTATCTTATCATTGTGTCCGTAATCTTAGTTTGGGTTGTTGGTCGATTTATGAGAATAATGTAGTAGGTAGAATCAACCTTATCATGGATTTTCGAATATAGGGTCCTTGTGCTTATTACTCGTTTAAGGTTATCTGCTCGTCCTACCAGTTCAACCATCTTACGTACAGGACTAGAAAACGACGAGCGTCAAGTGAATGTAACAAGCTTGACGCAACGCCCAAGAGATCAAAACGATCTACAAACCTACAACCAAAGTTAACGTAATAAACAGGTATCTCTTGAAAAGAAGAATATGGTCAGTTACACGAGATCCTGGAACGAATCATAGGAGATAAACCTCTCTGTTCGTCGTATCAAATCTCGGGAAAACCCTTTAGAATAGCCCTAAGCCTGGTCAATATAATTTCTCGATATGACTCAAATATTTTGTTGTTCTGGGTTTCCCGGTTGAATAATGAATCCGTTGTTCTTAGTGCGGGGCTATTCGTAATCGGAAATATACAATACCGAATGGTTTGGTTAGATTCTTTATCAACCAGTTCTGGACTTTGTTCATCACCGGAATTCTCCAATTGAGTCGGTGGCTCCCTATATCGTTGATCTCATGGTGCTTAAAACGATAATAAAGTTGGAGAAGAGCTCATCGTGGAATACGAGACGCAATTTCAAATGAAATCAACATAAAACATGGTTTGCAACATATTGCTGGTGTTGTGGTATACGATATTCCGAATAGGGCTAGGGCGTAGTTATTCTTGAAGTGGATCGGGGCTAGTTAAAATAGAAACCGAAATTCGCACACAAAACTACATAGCATCGTCAGCCAACAAATACTTGTTAACATGAGGAAACCCATACTTAGCATAAAACCTCAAACTCCACAGCCTCTAATATGACCAACAAACCACTGCATCAAGCCCACAAATCGAAAAGAAGAAAAACCACAAAACTAAGTCAAGACCAAAAGCGGCTGTAGCGTCAAATGACTAAGCTAACTGAGATGTGAATTGAATCATGAGTACCAGCGCAAAGACATATCGCTCAGGCGGTGCCAGCAGAGTATGTAGCAAGATCGAGAACCCTTATTTGAGGCACCTCACTCATGTAGATAGCTGAGGAGGCACTGCACTTATCTTTGTCGCGTGGATGTAACTACCTGAGGGATACAAGTTAAGTTTCCTGCCGAGTGATGAGTCGTGCATGCAAGCCTCAAGCAAGGGGGCATCTTGATTATATTCCGCTGTGTGGCAAAAACAACAACCCACTTCTTAGGCAAAGCTTCGATGAGGGAGCTGAGGATTGTCGGGCCGGGTGTCTTACAAGCGTTGATTCTCGATCCAGCCTACCTAGGTCTGGTGCCTCAATAATCGACGCTTTCGACGACGATATATTCGATCCTACATGAGAAAAGGAGAGTTCCTGCCGGAGCTTTTATTTCTTTAGATTCCTTTTTTGTAGAAGCAGGTACCGTTTTCTGGCTCTGGGTCACGGAGACCTCGGTGGTAGAGAAAGAGGGACTCCGAGGGAGGGAGCCAGGTCGTCGGCTCGGAGGGTCAAACACCCTCTACCCATCTAGACTAGTGTAACGAAGACAGGGAGACCTCGTGATCTAGTGTGGTTTATGAATAGGAGGACCCTTAAAAAGCATGCCAAGATGTCAATGCGGAACAGGGCTGAGAGCCTATCGTGGCTCATGTCTGAAACAATGAAGTCTCACAAAAGCTTGGGCGACCAGCGCCACAGTTCTGACTGACTCGCTGGAAGGCTGTATGTTTCATTGCGGAATGCCGTAATGGCAGGATCGGTTCTCGGCTGATCGGGAACTTACCGGCGAAGAGACTGTGGTTAGTGAAATGGTTTCCCCCTGTTTGGATGGGTAGGTACAGTTGCTCACCTACTGACGGCGGGTCCTGTCTGATGGTCCTGTTTGCAGCAATTTGCCCTTGGCGTCCATATCCTAACTCTGTTATTGGCCTCAAATCCCTGACCGCCGTCAGACAGGATCCGCCTTCACCCCGTGAGTGAGTGTACCTACTGATGTCTTGCATGCAGAACGGCCGGCTGGGCTGGAAGGAAAAACAAAGGCTGATAGAGAGGAATCCGGAGAAGGTACGAAGTTTATAAGACATTATGTCAGGGCGGAGTGGATACTTTGAGAATCCCCCCCCCCCCCCCAGAGTTACATACCTGACACTTGATACCCAAAGACTCTGGAATTCAGCCCTCGCCATTGAGCACTAGTACTGCACTCATTATCCGCTCGTTGCGACGGGCGTGACTTTGATATTGTTACCAGTGCACTTACTAGAGTGCTGCATGCCTGATGTCCAGATCCCTACTGGTAGCGTTTGTACCCAGGTAAAAGTATTACCACTACTGTAGCTATATCTGCAATAGCCACAGCATGTTAAGTATACAATACGATAGCAATAAATATGTTAAGTATACAATACGATAGCAATAAATATGTGTATGTATACACAGGGATGGTTAATCTTGTACGGCGACCTCGATACCTATCTACTTACCGCCAATAGATTGACACATTGTCCGGCCTGAGACCATGTTAAGTCCCAGAAACACATCTCCGGGAAGCCACCTCATTGGGTGCTGCGGGAGATACACGACAAATTAACAAAAATATATTATAATAGCATATTGCCCAAGCCATGGAGAAAGGGAAAGAAATAAAGAAAGAAAAACACTTTCTATAATTTTGATTTACGTACTTACGTTTGACACTGACACCTGACAGGCCTATCGACCTCCCACCTCCCTCTCCTTCTGCCACCCCCGGGCCCGCAGCGGGCACCGTATCCGTGTTTGGAGGGAGAGAAACAGAGTAACTTACATACAGTCCCGACACAGCGGGGCATCACATCACAGAGTCCCGAGTAGGTACTACCGCCAAGACCAAAGTTGCCTCTGACCCTCTCTGCCGGAATTCGTCACCCTCTCAGTGGGTCTATTTTTCGATCCTATCTACCTGTTTATTCGAGAAAGACAGGCAGGGGGTTTAGGGGGGGTGGGGGTGCAGGGGGAAAGGTAGGAAGGTACGTAGGAGAGCATTAAGAAGGCGAGAATTATTATTATTATTAGGTGGGGGTATGTACATGTAGAGTAGAGTACCTACTCTAGAGTAACTTGTATGTTACCTATGAATCAATCTACCGTACCGCCATCTGCAGGTACTTCGACCGCCCATCACCAGGCTATGTGCTCTGATTAGTAGGGAAGAACCGCTGACGGGCGGGTCACGTGACCCACCAGAAACATCGTCCACTCAATCGCGGTAAACTCTCGACAGAAAAATGCGCGCAGACGCAGCGGCACGCCGAGACATAACTTACGGGCCAGTAGAAGGCAGAGGTTCGAAAACTAGTTTCGAGGGGGCGCGTGAGTGGCAATGGAATCAATGGTGAAATAGAAACTAGTATGTATGTAACATAATTAGCAGTGAGTGTACGCAGAGTACGAGGTACATGTATGTAGGTACACACCTTTCATGGTCAAGGCGCGGCAACATCCATATCAGGGTTTCTTGTCCTAGGCCTAGAGGTAGTACTGATCTAATTCTTTATTTTTCGCGGGGGAGGCGTTTATTAGGAGAAGTACCTACCTTTGTCACGGCCGGGTAGACCTGCCTTTTGTTTGTTCTCACTTTCCTAGCTAGCTAGTTAGCTCATAGCTTTATAATTAACAATGATATCTCGTACAGCTTGTAGCCCTTATTATTATTGATGTTCGTTTGTTTCTTATATATTTACAGAGTCTACATATTACAGCCAATAAATACATGCCTTTCAGGTCAGCCATACCATAATAAGTCGCTATAAACCACCGCCGTCAAAACAACAAAAAAGAAAGTGCCCCCCTAACAAATAAAGCTGAATAAAAAAAGTCCTGCGCACGTCCCATGATCAACCAAACCTCCCGTCAGACCCATTCAACCCCGTATACCCGCTTTGAACGCCTTTTTGCCAACCCTGACAAAGGAAAAGAAAAAAAGGAAAAAGAAAAAGAAAAAGAAAAAGAGAGAAGTCTTTATACAGGAAAAAGATTGAGAAAAGAAAGCATAAAGAATGAAAAGAAAAGAAGAATAAAATAAAATAAAATAAAAAGAGAAAAAATAATGGGTAAGTTAAAAGGTAGCTACAGGGAAATATGACAGTAGAAAGAGTAATAAATAAAAGAAAATGATGTCGTACGTGTGTGGGTCTTCAATGGGGAACAGTAATCGTCAGATAATCTCGCACGTGCCACTCGCATACCTCCACTCCATCCCGAGACACTCAATAAGTAGTAATCCGTCAGTGAGAAGGAAAAAAATGAGAAGAAAAAGTAGAATGAATGGATAAGCCACTCCGAAAGTCTCAAGCCGGATTCAATGAATCCAAACTACTCGCCTTCGAACGTCTTCTACTAGCGGCCAGCTTTCTTTGCATTGCCTCAAACGGTAGCACAATCTTCTTCCATATATTTCCCATGAACTCCTTACAAGCTGGGAGGGTGGTGACAATGTAGATAAGCCCGTTCCAAAAGCCCTGGCACGGGAGCACGAGCGCTGCGGCGAAGTTGAGGCCAAAGTTTGTCGAGTCAGGGTGGATGAGACTGTATATTCTGTTTATACTTGACGGCAGCTGTACAATAATATCAATCAGCAAAGGCGTCTTTAAAGGTGGGGGTTAAGTAATCATGAAGCACACATACCCAAGTGATAATCAGTGCCAAAAAGAATAGCATTGCACACCGACAATACGCCCACGCCGCTGTATTTGCCTCCACACCGCTATTCCTCGTCCTCGTAACTGTGAGAGGCGGCTCCTTCCCCCCGCTACCAGACGATATTGTGCACGAGTAGCTTGTGAGCGGATTGACCACCGCCGGGACCCCGCTGTCATGTACCGGCCCCGGAGATATCGACCCGGGCCGCACTGACGATGACCGTGTACCCAATGTGTCTCTAGTAGGTCCTGTGTGACTGGAGCTTGTGTGCTCGGCACCGGCGAATTTGCGGAGCGAGTCTCGGAGGTTGAAGATTACGCGGCCGGCGAGGATATAGATAATTAGGGTGAGGAGGAGTACAATCCTGGCGTTTCCAATGTTAATATCACACAACGTGTATTGAAAGAAATCAAGTGGAAGAAAGGGTTTCTTACCACACTGGTCCGTAGAAGCCGGCGATGCGAAGGAATTGCCATTCGTTAGAGATCCAGCACCAGAGTGTTGCGGACCCATATATAGGTGTTCCTACATGGTCTTTGGGGAATAAGAATACTATCGCGGGAATGAACGGAATGCCATAGCAGGTAAGGACATAAGTGAGTTCGAGATTCTTGAGACGTTTGGTTGTGTACTTTTTGAAGACGGTGAGGTAGACATTGAGAGCCATTGCTAGACACTATCAATTGGCCAAGTTAGCAACAAGGTACAAACGCCGAGTAAACCCAATTAATACTGCGAAATCCAGATGGGGGGGCAAACATACAAATAACGCATCCGCAGGCATAAACCTATCCCATATCAAGCACATCAGCCAACCAATTCCCAAACCTCTCAACCAACCGCAAAAGTAAAAACCAACCATTGAATGAATGCCGCCTGAGCTTTACACAATCCCGAGCTATTCCCATGCGTAATTCCCTCTCTCGATGTTATCGTTGCCACGTTCGTCAGGATGTTCCCAAACGCTGCAAAAAACGCTAGGCGGTTTATGGGCCTGTGGAACGACCTTGATGAGCAGAAAGTGATGATGATGAAGCTGGCCCCCAACAGTGAAAATACGGAGGAGACTCGTGATGTTGTCTGCAAGATCTCGAGCTCGCGGGTTGTCCATGCCATTGTGGTAAAAATAGTACTACTAGTACTCCTGATACTATTTGTTCGTGCTGTGATGTCGGCGGTGGTCTATGGTGAAAGTTGTAATTTTTGTTTCTGGGGAGGGAAAAAAAGGTGGGAAGGAGGGGGGGGTGCTGTTTGTATATATTAGTAGGGGTAGTATTTTTAGGAGTGGGTGGACAAAGAGGGAGGTCATTGGGGAGGAGGATTGAGGGTATAGTAAAACAAATAATGGGTTCACTAGTTGATAGCATGCTCGGTGGTTTTGTGAAACGGAGAAAGAAGACTGTCATAGTAGAAAAAGAATTATAAGGAATATAGAGTGAACATGAACAAGAAAGCACGTAACCAATATTTACATACCGATTTGATTGAGCAACGGATTATCTTTAATAAAATATTATTCTTTCTCCCTTACTAAAGATTATCCCCACCCGAGAGAATAAGATATTAATAAGAACCCTTGGAATACCAAGCATCCAACATGGGGCGAGGAACGTTCTATATCCTTCTTTTCCGATGGCTGATACGATGTGGGGTAAATTCCTCCGATCCGTTATAATTGAAGGTCTGGTCTGGTTGTCAGGCAAGAAGCTGTTAGTTGCAATGTAGTCCACTAGCCCAAGCAATTATCTAACTTAGGGTGTGGATGGGTTGGCATGTAAATGGGATGACTGACGAGTGTGGGGATGGCATCTGATTTAAACAAAGAAGTAGTCATAACCTGGTACAGCGCTATAGAACTAGGGGCTAAGAAGACTGTATGGTAAAGGGTCACCCACAAGCTTGCAAGGGCGTGATCCGCACTGAGGGAGGGAGGGAGGGAGGGAGGGAGGGAGGTGAGGGAGGGAGGGAGAGCTTTGGTACCTGCTGTCCGACATCCGTAACCTCGTACAACATGAGCAGAGAGAGTGAGAGGGAAAGGAAAAGAGAAGAAAAAAAGAGGCTTAAATGTGCATGCCCGGCTGGGATATTCCTGGATGCTCGAGAAGCACTTGACTTGTGGGGGAAGACCGCATCGCATGCATTAACTCTCCACCCTACCATCCCCCTCAAATTCTCCTCGCTTAGATGCTGGGGATCTGTGTAGGTACATGTAGGTACATAGTGCAGCCCATTTCTTCATATATTGCCTAAGCCCTAGTATGCTGAACATGAGGGTCTGGATGGAGCTTATCTGGATATAGATAGGTACATGTATGTATCTCCTCTTCGCTGAGACCTCAAGCACTGAGAGGATCATTCCCAACGTGTCAGAAGTTTGCATGACATGAACTACATTCGAATTCCTACATGAATCCATAACATCTAGTTGGTTTCACCCCGTCACACGATGTCTTGCGGTACTAGAGTTGTGCGTTTTCAAATGTACATATGTAGCTACATGTATTTGCAACTCTTCTACCGGTTACCAGTGGTTGCTACCACAGCTCCCAAGCTCGGGGGGTTAATAATCTATTTCCGCTCTTGACAAATTTCTCCCCAGGTTAACGTTGCAAATAGTCTCTAGATATAAAAAATCACTTAGCCACAATTCCTTGCATAACGTCGTCGTATCGCCTAAGATAAGCACCTCAAAAAGTGCAAGACCGACGTAAAGACGTAAACGAAAAAGAAAAGAAAAACAAGGAAAGCAAAAATAGAGTCACACAGCAGATCAGATCAAACTGTGTAGGAACGGGCACCTCAAGATATCTCCCATGTACGGGTATGTATCGCAACATGGCAGAAACTCATCATCCTGGCGACTGCTGTTGCTCCCACTGCGCGCCAGCAATAATAGAGAGAGAGATCGAGAGAGATGGAAAAAGAAAGGATAGAGGATCTAGCCAGAACACATGTAGGATGCGATGCGCCTCATCGCGTCACCATAGCTAGGAAGCTCCACCAGTACCACCGCCCCGCCCTAACCCACGCAAGCAAGGCAAGGGTCTCGGATCCAAAAGAAAGAAATAAAGTGCACTCGGTTCGTTTTTTTTTATTTTTTCTATCTTTGCGGCATCGCGGCATTAAACGGTTCTTTGCCCTCACTCACTTGCTCTTTTAGCGGACTAGTATCAGTTCGCTTGCACTTCTTGTACCTTATTGGCTAGTGTAAATCTCGTGAAGCTCCAGCAGATCGAATTGGTTTGAACTAAAGAGACTCAACTACATGTACCCAGCTACTGTCCTTTCCATGCCATACCATTTTCATACCCAGCGCCCGTTTCAACTGCGGGGAAATGGTCCAAAACCTGGGAAAAGAATGAACTTCCCCACCCCCCCACCCCCCGGTCCTGCCGACAGTCAACTAGTAAATCCCCCTAGAGCACTTGTACCTACAGTTCTATCTAACCAACTCCTGCATAAGTGCGCGCCCCCGCTTCCCCTCCCGCAGAGAAGTATCGGTCTTTCACCCAGATGCTCACCGTGGTCGCGTGCTGATCATCTTCTTCAGCAATAGCTAATATCGTTAATCTCACCTCCTGGACTACTATAGCTTGTAGACCGGTACGGCGCTCTGCCTGCTCACCCTAGGTATGTAGACAAGTTCTCTACGTCAAACTGCCGTAGGGGAGAAATGCTTTCTACCTGCCTGGTGCAGAGCTTATTGCGATCACAAATCAAGCTCTATCAAGGTATTACCACCCTCGCCGCTTCATGAGAATGTGGGGGCGCTCGCTGTGTGTGCCGGTCTTCCTCACCTCCTAGGGCATGCATCCGCATCCTTCCATTCTCCTATCGATAAGGACTACCGCGAAACAAGAATCTTGACTTCACTCGTCGAGCGCTTCTCGCTGGTGCAAGTCTATGTTTGTGTTCTCTTTTGCACTTTGATAGATGTGTGTGGGTGTGTGGCGATTATTAGAGCGAGTATGTAAATAAGCAATTTTGTTCTGGGCACATACATGCATGCTTTTCATATCCGCGCGCGCTGCCATACAGCTATCCAAAGTGCTCTTTTCATCAGGCGCCTACGCTACCTCTCAGTCCATGGTGAAGAGCTGCAAATGTAAGGTGCGTATGGAGCTGGAGAAGGAGGGATGGGAAGCTTGTCTCTCGGATCCCGCAATCACTCGTCCTCTTTCGGAAGTGTATATATTGGCTTGGTTTCCGCGCCGTGGGGTTACATATGGGGGTGGGTGTGTTAATTAATTACATGTAATCAATTGAGATGGAATGAATGAACGAAACGTGGTGTATTTCTTCCTCCCTTCTGTGGCTGGTATCGGTGGGTGGTGGTGGTGGTGGTGGTGGTGGTGGTCCTGGTGGATGAGATCGAATGTATGCTACTTGCAAGAGGTACGTACCCATCACCCTTTAGAATCAGGGTCCTGTCAATGTCACTCATGTCAACTTAGGCAAAACCTACCTTCAGCACCTGCAATCACAAATTTAATTACGTCAATCTCTCTCGGCCAACCCCCGAAACTCGCAGAGAGAACCGTTCCCCTACGTACGGCTGTACCAAAAATCAAAGAATCGAAAGAAAAAAACCCACCACAACGGTATATGCGCCGGTGCAACGGAGTTTACCATCGAAACCAAACCAACTTCCCAATATCCCTTCTATATATCTCTATCACGATATTGCTCTACATATGTACATGTATGCAAGCTCTATATTGCCTCCCCCCCCCCAAACCCATACACCTGCTTGCACAACCCAACAAACAACCCCTAACCTAACCTCCTCCTATTCCTTCACCATGGCCATGGAAACGACCTGCCACAGAAACTCCGCTTCCGTCCCCAATCCCACGTTTCTCGGAATCCCAATGCATACATGTACACATATGGCATTGGTCAATATATATATACAATGTTCCGAGTATGTCGATCCTTCGGAATAGGTACTGGTTTATTATTGTCGGTAACAATATATATGTGTAGCTACAGTGCTATTTTAGAGCTATCAGCTGATGGATCTGGTTAGAAAGCTGCCTCACCAGATCTCTTGGTCCCAGATAGATATAGGGGGATATTAGTACGACCGCTACCCGGGAAGAACCTACTCCCTTCTACTCGATCCAATCCGGACGAGCTACATTCAGCCTGCGGCCCCGACAATCGCCACTGCTGTCAATTCATCTCCTCGATCTCGAGCCAATTAGAAATATCCTCGCTTGTAGTTCCATTCAGCATTGAGCGCTGAGCTGAAGTGTCAGCATCTCAGTTGTGTCGGGGAGTCCGGGAAGAAGAGGGGGTGGAAAGAAAAGAAAAAACTTAGTTTTCTGGCTGCTGGCTGGTCAAGTTGGAGATGATGCAGATCAAAGACAGCCCAGGTAACGTTGAACAGAAGCTGTCCGTCTATATCACAGGCCCACATGACATGCAAAGGCTATCCATGAGCCAGCTTGTGGGACGGATAGATCTCCATCACAGCCACCAGCTCCCTTTCTCCCACTCGCGCGTGCTCGATAAACGTCCCTTCTTTCGTTCCCGTGGAATGACATCGCAATACTACATACATCCGCCAGCTACCGGAAAAGAAAAGAAAAAGGAGACGAGCTGCAGTGCAGAGCGCGGGCTGCTTATATTAAGGTTGTAACACCGAGTCTATAAATCTTTAAGGTTTGTTCCACGACCAGCGCTCTCTATATTTCGCTCTCCCCTCCCCTGAAGTGACGGCGCAGTGGTAATGGTAACGGGTCTATATACTACCGGTAGTAAGGGTGTACGACAAGGAGCGGACACTACGAGCTGCCGATCGACTTATCTTGAGATTCCCTGTTGGTGCTTTTTAATCATGATCGACGGCTTTAACCTTCTTCCTCCAGCCACCAACTCGGCGGGCAGATGGTCCGTACGTATAACAGAAAACGGTGCCGTCTCATCTCACCACCGGAAGCTTCCCGAACGACGGAACAACTATATTATAGTAAAACCGTCTATATATATATCATGGCTATCAGCTGGAGTCTAAAAGGTGCTTTGGTTGATTGGTTTTGTCGAGTCGGCCTGAGGTGATGTGATCTAATAGTTATGACTGCCGATTTTTCTTTATGACCGGAGATTGGCTC